AAACGGAAGGCGGACATGTTGAAGCAATGTCTCTACTGTTGCGTTTTCTACCTACTCGCAATCTGAATCTTCCCCCGTTCGTGAAATATTTCGGATGGGTTACGGACGCGTTAGGGGTAAATCGCGAGCGAGTTTTTATGCTTCAGACGAGGATCTGTTTTTCCAAACGCGATCTTTCGCAAAACTCTGAGAACTCTGACACCAGAACGCCCAATATTCCCTCTCCACAGTTTTTCCGGAAACAGCCCTTCCCTTCTTGGGAAGTTTAGATGGTATTTTTGATGGGTCACCCTTGGGCGACATTCTGAGCCACTCAAAAGCCCGACTCCTTCTGCGCCATTGTAAGGATACTCAATCGTGAAGTTCACTATGCTAATTTGGTTATCATCGATCGATTGGGTGCGAGTGTGCGCCGTGCATTACGCTTCTATGCAGAGGTGGTGGAAAGGTGTAACTTCTGATTTTAGGTGATTTTTGTCCATGCAAGCAGATGTTTGTTTAGGGTTTGGAAAGGATCGATACGCACGAATCTGTTTGAGATGTACTATTTAGTCATCTACGTACTTATGAGTTCATGCTAACTACTGATAGTGTGAAGTATTTAATATTACAGTCGACTCGCCGCCCACCTCGGGAAGCTCCGCCCACAACGGATGTGCCTAGCACTTCTCAACCGGTGACCCATCACTGACATTAATCCACTTTTTCCCGGTGTCTGGAGTGATCTGGAAGCGTTTATGAATTTTTCAGTCTGGCTCCGCACACCTCGGCACGCTCCGCCCACAACGGTGTATCTTGCACTTCTCAATGATGACCACTTGACCATAATCCACTTTTGCGCGCCGTCTGTAGTGCTCTTGAGCCAAACTACCTACGATTTTTTTAAAATTAATACCTTACGTTTGAGGTCACGCCCCTCCCACTGTGGGCGGGTCACAGCACACCGCAGATATGACGGACTCTCGCCAGATGTTTGTCTTCGCCATGGACTTTTTTGCAATCTCTAAACTCTCTCGGGGACCGAGTTACCGACATTTGTGGGAAGCACCGCCCATCTCGAGTACGCCCTCGCCCATTTCGAGTGTGCCTCCTCCATTTGATAGGTCAACCCCTTGCTAACCCTCTCCTACAGTATCCGCCCTCAAAGTTTGAAAAAAAACGAAAAAACCCCAATTCGCGTTTTTTTCGTTTTTTCGCTATAACTCGATTCCTGTTTATCCTACTTATAGAGAGCCCTATACCGTTGATTCAGCTCGTCACGCTCTATACGATGCTGCTTTCAAAACCTATGAAACTTCAATTTTGATGACCTCAACCTAGCAAAATAGCTGAGGCGACTCGTTAGCGCGAGTCTCGCGGTAATTATAACCACAGGATATTCACAGGAATTCGAAAGATTCAACGGGCCAGTTGTTACTTCCGCAGATCAGAAAGTATTGAAATACACATAGCTGTGCTATTCAGACGGTGCGCATTCTTTTGGTACCGATTTCCTTAAAAACGGAGGAGTCTCTATGAATGTCTTTTTTGAAGAAAATCGCTTGTTTAAATCAGAAAATTGCAAACATCGTTTGGAATTTGGTCACAGAACCACAACACCTTTATCGTATGAATGCAGCTCTATATTCAGAAATTTCGAGGGTAGATCAGGAAAGGAGCGTATTCAGCCATTCAAAATCGGCATATCGTGTGATACTCTGAAACACGCATTTTCTAGGGTTTTAGAGGAGATTCATGGAGCAACCAACCGTACTAGAACATCCACAAGACGCCTACACACAGAAACTATGGTATTGTTCAACAATTTCACGGAAAACTGGGACCACTTTCAGAGTGCTCGTTTTTAGCGGCTGTCAAAGTCGGGGTCTCGTTTGATGTCGAGTTTTGTAAATGAAAGCTATCATTGAAACTTCGTTGAATTCCTCATGAAAAATGCTACTTAGTAATATAAAAAACTTTTCACGGCTTTTCATGTTACTTTTCGCTTTTTCACCCGATCATCGGCTCCGATCGCAAGCAGTCGACTTTCTAATTAGCCACCTCACCCAGATGGCTGTGGCAGGTTATCGATCGACTCCCAAAATTAGCGTATCGATCGGTGAGCGCCATTGGGCCGTTTTCTACGTGGAATTGTCGGCGTAATTGAATGCGTATGGAGTCTATATGCATGACTGAAATTGTGACAGCTGGTCAATTTTCGTGAAAAAAATGTCATGCCTTCAGCTACTCGATGCCCCTGGGACTCAAATAATGGAGATGACTTTGCATTTGAATTTCTTTGAGCTGATTCTCTGATCTATGGATTTCTACATTATCCGCCATTGATATCCACTGCTACTCCAGCTGGGGTTCCTGCCAGCGCCTTCAACTACTCGGAGGCATTGAGTTCCTGCCAGCGCCTTCAACTACTCGGAGGCATTGACCGCCAGCCTTAGCGGCTCCCGCAGTAATTACCGGAGGAGCTTCGGCGAAACCCTTGCAGTACCGAAACCGTGACCGCGAATGTTTTACAATCCATTATGAATGCGTTTGTAGAATAACAAAGGCAAAGTTTTCAATGTTTTACCATTTTCGAATTTACAAATTACCTTTTCGATTTACAAATTATTTACAAATACATATACCAAAGACTTTATTGAAATGAGAAGGTCAGCGAAGTCTATCGTCCTTCATAGATGTTCCTCCCTTCTTTCTCAACGACGCGATGGAGTTTCTTACCTACTCCTTATACATATTTAGCACACACTGCTGGAGTGAGCGTTTTCCAGAAAGCCATGGCTGCTCTCTACAACTCCTCCACACTTCGAACATTTCACTTTCTTGAAGTAATCAGAATTCATTATAAGAAGGTGTAATCTAACATAAATAGAATGGGAACTGTTGTAACCTAATGAAATCCTTCATGTTGCCCCAAACAAGTTCGATTGGGTTCAGATCGGGGGACTCTGGTGGCCAATCAAGCAGCCTAACCTTCACATTTCTGGACGTGCACTTGTGTACACGCTTTTGTGAGCAGGAGCATTGTCCTGCACAAGAACGCCATATCCCTAAATAATAATCCTAATGAATAATAATAAATAAATAATAATTCTAAGCCCAAGATGCACATGATTAAGCGCCATGTAACTTCCTTGATTCAGCTAGCATAGAATATACAAGGTGCTTACCATGATAGATGTTGTTGTTGAACGGAATGTAACATCGTTCCAGAATCTGACAGTACTTCTCACTGTCCATTCTCATTTCACCGGGGAAATATTGCAAGTTCCGTCGCACCTCTCATAGATATTCCACCCCAGAGGTGAAGCTTCGCTGGGTGCTTGGCCCTCAAACGAAGTCGAGAGAAGTAGTCACCTTCTTTCACATAACAGTGTTTGACAGAGCAGTCGACTAGAAAAGCTGCTTTTGAAATTTATCAATGCAACAAGGAAAGCAGTTCACAATCTATGAATGAACACACTCTGGATCGTTGACTCATCTGTGAAAATACACTGACTAAAGTCTTCGTTATTCTCGATCATTCTCGTGCAGAAGGCGAATCTCTTCTCTTTGTTGGCGTCCCGAATCATGTGGCAATACTTCGTCGTCGTTCTCCGAAATCCTAATTTATCCCGCAAACGACGCAGATGCGATGCCTTACAGATATATTTCGTTCCCTGAGACGTCTACTTATTAAGACTATCGTGGCTGACGAATCGGCAGAATAGGTGTCCTCTATGATCCTCCTGACTGTGTGCAGAACCTTGGTCAGAGTGCTTACATTGTTCCGTTTTCATTTCTTTCGTTCACTTCATTCATTTCTCGCTGTGCTATAATTATTTTGAACAGAGCAAATGTGGTGAAGAAAAACAATAATTCATTATAATTAGGCGCGAGGTACATGGGGTTTACGGTAGGCAAAGAGGGCGCAAGTGGTGTAACTGCGCCCAGCAGCCCATGCGCTGGGTCCCTCTTGCATTGCTCCACTAATACTGGCATGAAAGGAATTCAAGAGATGATCGTAACAAGTTCATAAACCGCCATTGCTTCAAAATAACATTTGCAAAACTGGAGGTCAGCGTAACCCGCTAGACTACTGCACAAAAATGCCTCGCATAGAAGATAGCGTCGACATGAACCTTGGAGATGTTTGAACTGTGGTTGTAACTCAAATTCTCAACCTATCGTCACCTATCATATGTACCTATTCCACAAATATGAGGTTAACCTCAATTCAAAGGACTAACTCTCTGTGGTATAACATTGAAATGTTGTCAGATACTTACTTGCATTACTTCCAATCAAAAAATGGTTTTTCCGGTGATAGTGAAGTCCAGCCGCTACATTAGTTTTCCATACCGCGCACACTCGGGATCTATCACCATTCATTCTGTAAGTAAATCAACATATGAAAGTAACCGAACACGAAAGGCGACAGAATAAACTGCACAATGGGGAAATCATGTGCACAATGAGTTGGCGGTAATTGTTGATCATCGGGTAGAACAAAAACATGCTGGTGTTCCGAGCGATTGCAAGAGATCAAAGAGCAATGCATGTCCTATGGGGGGGGGAATCCTTGCCTGATACGACCCTCCCCAATTTTCTCCTCTGGTACAACTTCCCTTCCCCATCCCTCCTGTGTGACACTTTTTCGGCTTTTGCCGTGAGGGGGGGGGGGAGGGGGTGAATAGTAATCACATTTGATCAGCTACCAAATGTGAAGTGATAGGTCTTTGAGAGCGACCCGCTTGAGAGTGCTAAAGGCATAGGGCACGATAATATGGTACTCCTTCTAACATGTAGCGGGGGTGCTATGCGCTGGGGATATGGAGAGAAAGCGAAGTGAAACGGTCAGAAACCTGCAAAAAGCATTGGTTACACGACGAATGATAACGAAGGCGAAAGAAACTATGACAATATATTATCACAAAAGAGGGTAAATGCGGCCCTGGTGGCGCAACAGATACAAGAGCTCAGTTAAACGATTGTTTAATAACTCTCCATGATCTGGCGGATCATGGAGAGTTAATAAGAAAACGAACATTAACCTGTGATGAAGGATTTTGAAATTCAAGCATAAAATTTTTGAAATTTCAATGAAAATTCAAATTTGAAATAAGAGAACTTTTCTAGAACAGCAGTCCTCACGGACCTTCTGCGAAATAGTGAACAGAAGAGACCACGTTGGTGGATAAAAGTACGAAAAGACTGATCAATACAATGCCCTGACACCTCGGTGGGATAACTAATTGGGAGGTCGACTGATCGCTGACAGGGCAGATAGCCGGGGAAAACTACGAAAGGTCATAGAAAGTTCTATGAGGTGATTTTCATATGAATAGATAGCATTTTTCATGTGGATTCAAATGGTGTACCTTTGACTGGATTTTCTTAATATGGAAAATGAGTGTATTTTGCTTTGAAATGATTCCCTGAAGTTGGCGCCCGATAACGACAACCGGTCTAAAATATACCATTGCTTTCCACCAATTTGTTGGGAAGCACAAGGCGTTCTGTACGCAGCTTTTTTATGGAACGTATGGGGCCTCCCAGAGCGCTGGAAATTCTGCCTGAAAACGCTGAAAATCTAGCATTCGTCCTGGTATCGCACGAAGTGCTCATTTCAAGTAGCTGAAAAACTCTTCTTATTGACTTCATTCTTGGACTTCGTAAAAGTTGGGGGCTCCATACATTAGGCCAGTTGCACTCGTGTGGTCAGAACTGAACCAATGCTCGAGATTTTTCGAACTGAAAAGGCTATATCGCCCGAAAATGACGAGTGAAACCCCACTATTTTCAGAGAAATCGGCCACCGTAATGATCAGCATCTTTTGGGAAACACAACTGTCTAGTTTATAACCATTTCTTGCGCGATATGGTACACTATTTGATTCCTGAATGATTTAATTTTCCCCAATGTTGCCCTGGTTAAATTATAGCGCAGACTCGCGCGTAAGAGTGTCCCCAGGTGTTTCGACGTAAAGAAGCGGAGTTACAATTTTTGACTCTTCAGTTTTTTTAGGGTGCTATATGGGAATAATTCACACGAACTGAGTTATAGCAAAAAAAAAACGAAAAAAAGCGAATCGGCGTTTTTTCGTTTTTTTTTTCGAACATTTAGGGTGAGTACTGTACTTTTTTCCCATCTCAAAGAAATTATAAATTTTTTCAGTGCTACCGGAAGCACTGCCCATTTCGGGTGCTTCTCCTCCATTTGATGGGTCAACCCTTTGCTAACCTTAATCCACTTTTCCCCATCTCGGGACTGCTCTGGAGCCGAATTATGAATTTTTTCAGTGAGACCGCTAACTTTCGACGCATGCCCGCCCAGTGCGGGCGGGGCTTACATGCCCTTCCCATCCCGACCTTGACCCCACCTCTCCAAGTTGTTCTTCTGGTAGAACCGAATTTCCGGACAAACAAACAAACAAACAGACGAAGCAATTATATATAGTGGGTGATGATTTTGTAGTCTTCCTTACAACCCGTCTGCAACTTTCCGTACACTCCATAAAACTTAGCGATGACACTCTTGTGCTTTTGGAGCTGACCGACTCTGCTTTCACGACCTCCCCCCCCCAACGGCCAAGTACGACCCCTCGATGGGTTTCGCACAACGTTACTGTACCCTGTTTGCAAGCCCTGGCTCACAAATAGCTTTTTCTCTTCCAGCACTTTCGCTTTTTTCCAGCACTTCACGCCATGTAATGCAAAGAAAAGAAAGCGAAAGACAACAATAACACTGAAGTCAAACTCGTAACAGAAAGTAAATCTCGAAACTCTTTCTTTCGAATTGACGTTCAAACTTTCGAGTTTAGGATTACAGTAGGCAGTGCATATCGGGCTTCTGCACCTAATAACTGCGCATTGCTAGTGAGTTGAACGCGTCTCACCTTGCAAGATGGATTGCTGATGACTGCATGTGCTTCTAATAAAGAAAAAGTATAAGGGAGAGCAGAATTACTTACGAGCACGAGCGCGGTCGGCAAAATGGGTACGCAGTTCGGATTTATGCCCGCAGCTCCAACAAATAACAACTGATCCCCTGCGTTAGGTATGAAGGGAACGTTGTTGGGTGGGCGCTCCAACCAAGCGAGTGCCAGCACTCGAACTTTCGACGGCTGTAGCACTCTCCTCACTTGCCGTGGAGTCGTGAAAGTGGGAAGGTCTGTAGGTCTGCGGGCTGCACTACTAGCACAAGTAGGGACGATCACGTGGCGCTCTAGCGCGGGGTTTGTATTTAAAGACAGCCTCCCGCGCTCAAGTAGTACATGGTTGTCCTTTCCTTGTGCAAGTAGTACAGCCCCCAAGCTAGAGACTGCAACTCCACGCGAGCGATTAGCGAGCTACAGCTCTAGTTCTAACGCCCGCTCAGTTGGACCGCCCACTTGCTAGATGCCCTCCGACGGAGGGCAGCTCAGTTGTTCTTTGTTGGCGGGCATTAATCGGAATTGCATGTCCTTTTCGCTGACAGCGCTCATGCCCATGAATGATTCTGCTCTCCTTTATTACATTTTATTCATCAGGAGCACATACAGTCAACTCCAACCATCTCGCAAGGTAAAACGCGTAAAAATCACGAGCGACCCAATTTTCGTGGTGCAAAAGCTCGACGCACTTCACTACACTAAAATATGCACGCTACCGTAACCCGGACGCCGGCTTTTTAAATGTTTCTTTTTCTTTTCAAGAGTTTTTCCTCTCTGTTTTGTTGTTTTTTGTATTCTTTTCTTTGCATTGGATGATATCACTACTGGGAGATGTGATAAAGGGATTTGTGAGCCAGGGGTTGCACAGAGACCGCAGGGAGGTGTGACTGTCAGGGAGCGATTTTGTTTATGGTGTTCTTGAGGACTCTTCTTGCTTTTTTCTTCTTTGGGGAATTACTTATCAGCTACTGTTTCATAATTGAAAAGCAACTATCCATGACACTTTTATCGCGGGAGCTGTCTTTAAGCTTTTCTTGGCATTGTGGATTTTCCAGCTGATCTTGGGCTAATTTGTGTTTGCAGGCCATGTTCTGATTGCAGTCAATCGCTCTGCACTATGTGGTTATCCAAAATAGAACTGGTATCATTTTGCAGCATGCCCTGTCAATCGTCTCATGTCCATCTCAATTAATAGGAATGCTCCCCTTTCCCAAGGTAATTAGTGCCCTGATTATGTTCATAGAAACGACCATAGAATTCAAGAAAAAGGACATCATTATTGGAGAGCATATCTACCACTCCCTTTGACGACTGCTTCCTATTTTGTTTGCACTAGGGACGCGAAGAATCTGTCCCTTCCCTCTAGCATGCAGTCATACGTCGCCTGCATCAATTCCCTCATCGACTTGCACTTGAAGGGTTGACGACATCTCGAATGACATTTCTCGTCGCTTGAGCTCAAGAATTGCAGTTTCGAAAGCTATCACAGAGCTCAACTAATATGTAGTACTAGGCAGCTCCTTTGGGCCAACCTGAAGAAACTTGTTCTCTGACAATCAGCGAGAACATCAAAAAAAAGTGGGCGGTTGTCAGCGTTTTGGCGAGATCAGTGAGGAAGACGACAGAGAAAAAAGTGGATTTCCACGAAACTAGTGCAGAAGGTGGCAGAGGGTCCTTGGAAAATGAGGGCGTAGGAGCAAGAGGAATGCTTACTTCTTTCCAATGACTCCAAAATAAATAGAAATCTTCACAAATTTTCTTACGGTCAAAAGTGCTTCGAGACCAAAGTGTGGATTTTTGCAGCAAGCGCTGCGCAATCCGTGCATACCTCCTCCGCCGCACGTTTCTCTCTCTTATTCCTTCGC